TGCTGTTCTACACTCAGATTCACAACTACATTTTAAAAATATCACCTTCCTTAAACTTTTAGACTAAATCTAGAACTGAAAGTTTGGAAGGAACAAGGCTCCAGGAAAGCCCCCTTTTAAAAAATGTGCTTCAAGAAGTAGTGTAATATGTCTTTTGAATTATACACAGGGCGTCAGTGTTATAGAGACAACAGTTAACCTTTTTTTTTTTTTTTTTTTTTTTTTTTGGTAGACTATCTCATTTAAACTTTTAATTATATAAGAAACAGCATTCTTTCTTCATTGTTCCCAACCAGCTATTTGTATGCAAGAAAAATAAATGTGTATATGTGTGCATGGGTATGTGTTGGAAGAAGAAGAGGGAGCAGGAATACTACCTCTATCTGTCCAAACAACTATTTTCATTTCCCTGTTGGTACAAGTCTATATTTGTATTGTCTTTGTTATTATAAATGAGTTCAAGAGATGTGTCAGATTCAAAAGACTTTAGAGTTGTTTTAAAAATATATTTTTATTGACTTTAGAGAGAAGGGAAGGGAAAGGCATAGAGAGATACAAACATCGATCAGCTGCCTCTTGCACACCCCCTACTGGGGATTGAGCCCACAACCCAGGCATGTGCCCTGACTGGGAATTGGTGACCTTTTGGTTCATGGGTTGACCCTCAACCACTGAGCCACTCTGGCTGGGCAAAAGACTAGATTCTGAAGGGCATTCAGTGTAATTTGAAACACCTGCATCACTGCTAATCACCAAGTGTTCTTGGTTTGTGTCTTCATATTTAAGCTGCCTACTCTTCTCCATCCCCACCAGCACTGCCATAATATGCTATTTCTTGAATGACTGCTATTTCTTGGATTACTGCTTTAGTTTACCACATGTCTTCATTTCCTTTACTTCCCACCTTCCTCCTCTGGTTGACACTGCAACCAGAGAGAGCATTCCTGACGACAAATATGATCATGGCTTTCCATTGCCTAAAATCCTCCATGGCACCAAATTGCTTTACGTGTAAAATCTAACCCCTTAGCATAAGCAGAGTTGTTCTGTACCTTTGCACTCCCCAGCCACATGTCCTTAGCTCTTTAGGGACGTATAGTTCCCAGAACTTTCCTGAAGCTGTCTGGTTTTTGCATCATAGAGTTTCTGTATTTGGAACATACTTCCCCATTCTTTCCCCAGTTAATTCTAAGTAATTGATCCTTCAAGGCTCAGATTAGGTGTCACTTCTCCTACAAGACTGAGCTGAGGGTGTCTTAAATGTTCCCTCTAAATATGTCCCTGACATGTTACCACCATTCTGTATTTTTATCAAGATTATTATTATTAAATTTTATTATTATTTTACTTCCCTTTATTCTCTCCTACATCATGAGTTCCCAATGGGCAGAGATGGGTCTTTCATCTCTGTATTCTCAGCAAAGATCTCACCACATAAGTGGTACCCACAAAATAATGAAGTGTAGAGCCCTTTTATGTTATAGTTGAGAAACCAGCATATAGAGTAGATCAGACAAAATTTAGAGGCAGAGCCAACCTTTTAGGGGTTGTTTCCCTCAGGAATTATAGACTCAGGTTCCATAAGGGCCAGACAGGCAACATATCAGAAAAGTGGACTGTCTTTTTCAGCAATCATTCTGTCATTTTTCTGGAACATATGCCTTTTTTTATACTATCTTTTCTAAGATAAAGAAACATTTTGGTATAAGAAATATTTTATTTTTCTCTTAAGCTACTATGTAAGAAAGACAGTGTGAAGATGGTGGTTATAATGCAACTTGATGAATTACAGGTCAATGCTGGTTCTTTGTTCCTCTATAAGATTTTGTAGGTAGATAATTGTGACATTTCTTGTTATAGTTTCAGTCTTTGGATTCATGCCCTCACTGGGTACTGAAAATCTGCTAACCTTTCTAGTTTAATTTCTAGTTGTTGAACCCCCCTACTCACATTTATGCACACATATACATACTCTACGCTCCAACTTTACTAAATTGTAGTTCCCCAACATGCCATTTTTAATGCCTCTCTCTCTGTGTCCTTCCTTCCTGCCACCTCTGCTTGAATCAGCCTCAATTCCTGATCGTACATCACCCACTCCCCTCTATAGGTACTGGATGAACTGCTTCCTCAGAACTCTAAGTCAAAAGGCATAGACTTTCCCTGGGTATGTGTGTGTGTGTGTGTGTCCAGAGTACACAGCACTTTAGCAAGGATGCTATTCAACTGCCCCATTTAGAACTTGCTTGGAATCTATATATATAAAAGCCTAAGTGACTGAATGACTTGTCACTATGACACGCTCTGACCATCAGGGGGCAGATGCTCAATGCAGGAGCTGCCCCCTAGTGGTCAGTGTGCTCCCACAGCCAACCTCCCATGGCCAGCCAGCCCCGATTGGCTCTGATAGGGCCAGGTGGCCAACCTCCCACAGTCCTTCCCCTGGCCAGCCAACCTCCCGAGGCCTTCCCCCCCACCCCCCCAGCCAACCTCCCACAACCCCTCCCCCTCAATCAACCTCCTGTAGCCCTGATCAGCTCTAATCGCCAGCCAGGCCAAGGGGCCCCACCGGTGCACGAATCCTGCACCAGGCCTCAATTAAAAAAAAAAAAAATGTTTTATTGATTTTTTTTTTTTTTTTTTTAGAGAGGAAGGAAGAGGGATAGAGAGTCAGAAACATCAATGAGAAAGAAACATTGACCAGCTGCCCCCTGCACATCCGCTACTGGGGATGTGCCCGAAACCAGGGTACATGTCCTTGACTGGAATCGAACCCGGGACCCTTCAGTCAGCAGGCTGACACTTTATCCACTGAGCCAAACTGGTTAGGATCAGGCCTCAGTTTTTTTGTTTTTGTTTTTTTATAAAGTTAAAGCAGAGTCCAGGATTAAATTGTGTGGGTTTTGAATTTTCAGGAGGTGATATACTGCCTTCGGTATAAAATTTGATTAAGCTTGATAACTTTAATGTCATTTGACTCTCTTGGGGAGGAAGAATTAAATTGCTTGCTCTAGAGAATGAATTTTTCCCATTGACTAAGGAATCGAAGATTTATAAATTCAAAATGATCTCGGTGATTTAAGAGAGAGAGAGAGAGAGATGTACTTTTTTCCCCCAGCAGAAGCAGGTTCAGGGCATTGTTAACACTTGGTAAAAATTGCATAATTGAGCACTAGGAACTTGTCTGGGATTTAGCTTTCCGGCCCTTGCTGGGTGAGGAGTTCTGTGGGACCTGCTGGCATGCTTGAGCAGGGAGCCTAGAGCATTAGGAAGGGAATACCTTTTAGCAGACCTCAGGTACTGAAGAGATTTGATTTAATTTTACATGTTACACATGGTAATCTGGTTTCCCTTGGCAACCTCCAGTTCTGCCCTACTTTATAATCGGAGGATGACAGGGAACACTACAGACTTGATGACATCACCTGGAAGTGACTGTTGAGAACAGCTTTTGCCTCAAAAGAAAAGAGAAAAAGGTTACTGAAAAAGAACAAGTGAGCCAGCCCCCTTAAAGAGGGGGCCGGTAAGAGCTCCCTGCCGCTCAGACACTCCCCCATTGGTGAGGGAGATGGCAGAACTACCTATAGTAGAGCAGTCTGGGACCTGAGGGTCTCTGACGGCTAGTGATGTGCATACTATACTGTGCCCATACACTTTCAAAGAGGCCTGAGTAAGTGGAAGGAGAGATGGAGGGGGTCTGCAGTACTACAAACGGCATTCAGTTGAGCTAACAAGGCAAAGAAACTATCAAATCAGAAGGCACCGATGAGGCAGGTAAGCATTGGGAACAGTTCTCGTTCTTACCTGGCTAGTGATTACTTTATTCTGTTTAGTTCATGCCCAAAGGAAGTAATGCACCTAATGATTCCAAATGATCGTAAGTCTTTAGAAGTAGCTAGTGCCTTACTGAAGTTTAAAAGGACAGGGTTCTACCTATGAGCCAGTGAGTGAGTGAGTGTGTGTGTGTGTGTGTGTGTGTGTGTATGGGTAGATAGATCAATAGATCTATAGATATCGTTAGGTTTTGAGGTGGTTGTGATGTGAGTGATAGTGACTGGCCAGTGATAGAGACTACGTATGGCATTTTATCGTCTTACGTGTGCTTCTGTCATCTTCACAAAATGCTGTCTACTGAGGCAGCACGTGCCCTTACCTCTTCTTTTTGAGGTGAAAGCTATGGTAGTCTAATGGCAAACTGAGAAATCTCACTGTCACACACTTACCGTGTAAAGCATTTCGCATGAATTCCATTGAATCCTCATAATGACCATGATTGTAGATGTGATTTTAGCAATGTTTTTTCAGTTTTCTATTAATCCTTCCCAGAACATTCTCTCTAACATTTTATTATGAGAATGTTCAAACACACAATAAAGTGGAAAGAATGGACACCTCCATAGCCACCTAGATTCTACATTTGTTATGATTCTTCTGTATTTGCTTTTTTGTTTAGCCATCAATTTATCTACCATCCACATCCATTTTTGCTGTGTTCCAGAGTGAATTACAATCATGAGTACCTTTTACTCCTCAGCACATACATGTGGATATCATTCATTAGACATAATTAAAACTGTGTTAGCCCTATTAGAAAACAAAAAACAAAACAGGGCCTTCAATCCCGTGCTTTAGGGACATGGTATGTACTCAGGCACTTTGGGCCTTTCTTTATGCAATAGTGCGATATTTGAGGGAAAATGTAAGCTAACCCATGTCAAAAAACACTTGTGCCTCATTCATAAGAAACAGAAATCTGTAGGAGGGTGGGGGATACCCCTGCTAAATTCCTAGGCCACAGCCAGCAGCGTTGCAAAGTGGCTTCTTAATCTCATTTCTGATTTTATAGGAGGTTGAGGTCACTGCCACATTTCTGAACCTTCTCTCCTCAAAGGGGGAGTTTGATTAGCTAATTAGTTAAGTACTTTTGTGATGATATTGGAACTGAATTTCAATAAACATTTTTTCCCTTTTCTTTCTGGGTGTGACTGCATTGCCTACAGCATGCTGCATGGTTGCTGGTAAAACAGGAAATGGGGTAAGTAATTTAGGTAGGGAATTTTTACCACCATTTAAATTAAGCCACCTAATTCTTCAAGTACTTTTAAAACCACTATCTCTTTTTTTTTTTTTTTTTTAGGGTGAGTTCACTGACTACTACTAGAGAATTTGACACAAAGAAAATTTTCATTGTTTAAATTTAGGTGTCAACCTTGTTTAATTGGTTTATTTGCATAACATTAGCAGATTTTTTTGTAGATTTAATATGAATGTAAATACATACTTTAGAGTCTTTGGCCATTTATATAATGTAGTTTGGCAAGTTATTTTAAGAGAATAAATTTTATACTGATTTTAGGAACTAATTTATGAAACTAATAATGCTATAAAATATATAAATTAAAATCCTAGTTAAGGCAGAACAATAGTGAGTTTATATATAGATGAAACACAGAAAACAGGTCCACAGTCCTTCATTGGAAATCCTTCAAGGCAAAATGTGTTGTGGAATTTAGAAATTTTTAGATTTTGAAAATGTAATATGGTGTTATATTTTATAAATACCAAATATAACATACCTTCCCCTCTAGGATCTGGATTGCTACTGTATAATCAAACATTAATACTTCTGTAGTGAAACATATGAATATTCACACTAAGTTTCATAAACAAAGTCTCTAAACAGTCTCACATGTTCAATTTACTGAGCTAAGAAGAAAAAAATATTTCATTTTCCAGAGCTTTTCGGATTTTAACACTGAAATTTTTAGACTAATATAAAAAGGCCATGTGACTGCTAGAGGTTTTCTGTGTACTACTCGGGAGAGAAAAATTCAGAGAGAAGTATAGATTTCTGTGTTAAAATCTTGAATTTGGTGAAGTAATTTATTTAAGAAGTAATTGATTTTAAAAAATATTTCACATCTACATTTTTCAGGGGGCAATCACCACATATTTATCAAAGGTTTTGGAGTTTGGTTAGGTTATGTTAGATTAATCTCAAATGCTTGTGATTCTGGCATAATAACATTTGATACTGTATTTGAGGAAGTGTTTAGTATAGTCAAAGCATGCTATTTTCTGAATTTTTTAGTTTCCATCCACATTGCTTGAGAGTTGCTCTTGTTATTTCTTATGGAAAGATTTTAAACTAAGTTGATGAGTTCTTCCAAAAGATCCCGTTCAAAAATATAGAAAGCACTAATTTTTGTTCTCAGTGTCTCTGGCTTTTCATGTTCAAAAAATTGTGGAATAATTGTCATTATAGAATTGACTCAAGGAATTTAGAAAAAATTAATTGTGTTGGATTCTTTGATCTACCAATAGTTGGTTGTCATACTACATCTATAGCAAAAGTGGTTGCAATTGACATCCTCATCAGTAGTTACCTGATAAGAGGAGGGAAATGTGGTTATTAAGTGCTAAATTGGGACTGAATTTAGTATTATACTAATTCCTCTAAAGGACTATCAAGCATATGTAGGGACCTCTGTGAAAACTAGAAAAGTCATTAGCCACATTCAACTTGGAGGATTGAAAATCTGGCATTTTAAATATTTGCATAAGGTTAAGGTTTCCAACTCTTTCCCCTAGCTCTTTGATCTAGAAGGAAAAACATGCATATAGTTAAAGTTTTTTAACTGGACTGAGAAGCTCTATATATACTTCAAAGGCTATGAAGGATTTAAAATACCAGTTTTCTTAACTACACATTGATAATGTTTTCAGGATTGACTTTTGCTGCAACCCACTGTACTTTAGAGTATAAGCAATTTTTAAATAGTTTTCCATTCTTATGCTCTCTGTTTCAACTTCTTATTCTTTAAAATGGATTCTCATTTATTATTAACCTTTCAATTGTGATACTTTTTTAATGGATATATGATTAAACTATTGATACAATATCAAAGATAGTTTTTTAAAATACCTACTTATTTTTTTTATATTTAGAAAATTAGAAACAATTTATGAAGCTCAAACACCTAGAGCTTGAATAAGTTCTTAAATGTGTATTCGCTTTTTAACAATTGATTAAATTTAGCCATTAGTTAAATTATGGTCTTATTTTCTACCTTCACTTTATTAGTGTTTTCTTTGGTGTTGAAGAATTAAATTATAATAAACATTGACTATAAGGAGTCATTTCTATCAGTGAAAATTAATTTTTTTTCAATGAAAAATTTTAAATTGTTCCACTTATGAATTTGTTGGTTGATTCTTATATGTGCCCTGACTGGCGATCTAACCCACAACCTTGGTATATCGGGATGACACCAACTGGGCTACTTGGCCAGGGAATATCAGTGAACATGAGACATTTAACTAAATGAGTCACAAGTTGGCCCTTAAATATCTCCTTTGTTAAAAGTAGCCCTGTGAATAGCCATAAGACTGATTTGAAGTTTTAATTATATGACTGATGTGGGCCTGTTACTATATTAGTGATACTGCAGTGTTCTCAGCAGAGTAGAGCAGTTTTAATAATATCATACCATGTTTTTCTTTTCTCTTACCTCAGTTCCTTTCTCTCACAATTCTAGTTTACAAGCCAAAGACTAGAAACCATAATTGGGACTTCCCCAAACTTATTTATTTGCTCATGAGTAGATTTTGGGGGAATGTCAGATTCTTATGCAGACATTTATCTGCATTTATCATTAAGATGGTGAGTATTTCAGAACATTGATACTTTAGGATTTAATATTTCTTCTTCAGCAGTAAAGAAAAAAGTGCAGCTTTTATGTATATTTCCCAAAGTAAGCCCTATTATCAGGAAGAGAATTGATGCAAACAGTTTAGTCTGGATGAGATTATTGTAATAAGCAGTTTTGTAGTTTCTGAACAATAAACAATCCTCTCTATCCCATCTTTCTGTCTTCTGATGTATAAATTCTGGAATTTGGCAATTCTAGCTCAAAAAATTCATTAGCACACCTTTGTCTCTGAAATGTTCTACACTGTCTTTATGCCATTAAAAAACAAAAGCAGTTTCCTGATTTTACTGGAATGTAAGGCCCATGAGCTCATGAATTCTTTGTCTGCTTTGTTCTCTGTTTTTTTTTTTTTGTTTGTTTTGTTTTATTTTTTTATCTAATGTGTAAAATAGTGCCTAGGACATTGGAAGCACTTAATAAATACTTTTTAAATAATTGCATCAACTCTTGCCTTTAGTAGAAAAAGTGAAGTTTTTCATGTCAGTGAATTAATTTTTATGTCATTCAGAAAGCAGAGTCTGTCACTGGGAAGAAATGACATAGTTCAGCTAAAAGAAGCCTACAAATGGATAACTCACCCCCTGTTTTCAGAGGAACTGGGTGTTCCCATTGATGGAAAGGTATTGGGTCATCAGCATTGTTGATTTCCTTCTCTGATTTCACCAATCTTACTTCATTATATGCTGCAGTTTTGGTTAGCCACGAGAATATTCTCTTTAAATAATCCAATGGACCATTTTTAAGCCTTTAAAATGATAATTTCTAACAGTCTTAAACTGAGGTTAAAGTTTCTCTTTCTTTCTTTCTTTCTTTTTTTTTTTTTTAAATATATTTTATTGATTTTTCACAGAGAGGAAGAGAGGGATAGAGAGTTAGAAACATCGATGAGAGAGAATCATCGATCAGTTGCCTCTTGCACACCCCTACTGGGGATGTGCCCGCAACCAAGGTACATGCCCTTGCCCGGAATCGAACCCGGGACCTTTCAGTCCGCAGGCTGACGCTCTATCTACTGAGCCAAACCAGTCCCGGCTCTTTCTTTCTTTTTTTTTTTTAAAAGACTTCTTTGTGATCCAAGACACTTAGGAGTGTAACAGGTGCAGTGTACCCTAATTGACCTTAAGAGGTTAGAAATGAATCTAAGCCTTTAATATGTTTATATTTTAATTGTACTGACACAAAGCAATAATAAATAACTGAGCAAGTATAGTGTGCAGTCTAGGCTATTTAAATTTTGTTATCTGTGGCTAATCTTGTTTTCAAATATGCAGACAGAATCCTCTCAACTGCAGTGATCCCGGGCTCAGTCTGTTCCCTTGTTGCTATTTCAAACCCCTCTGTTGAATTTTATGCAGAGACTGCCTTGGAAAACCGAACACTTAACCATTTCCTTATTCCAGAGCCGACCTTGCCTCACGCTCTGGAATGGACTGAATTTTTGGGAAGAGCTAAACAAGTTTCAAGATGTGGAAACAGGATATATTCCCAGCTCACTTAAATTAAATTGTAATAGTATGGCCTCATCGCTTGGTCATTTTGCTTGAAGGAAATTCCCTGAATATCAGACACACCCCCATGCAAGTAAAATCATAAAACCATCTTTCAAAGCTAAATATTTTTAAAAAATCCACTATTCTGAATTATATAGCTCTGTTTCCCTCAGTTAGTAAGAATAAACTCTGGCTGTCCTTTAAACTGAATACTGAGAGACTAGAAAATAAAACCCACAGACAGCATGAAGAGGAAATGAGGTAATGAAAGTACTCTGGAAATTAAAGAAGTAATTGACAAAAAATATTTTTTACCTCAAGTTTTATTTTTGAAGCACAAATGATTTCTTATATGTTGACTCAGAACTTAAAATAGAAAACAAAAGATGTAAAAATGTTCTAATAGATTCAGAAGGACGGAAGTTTTCTTGAGTAAAAAAAAAAAAAAAAAAAAAAAGTTTTGTAATCTTATTTTTATTTGGTAGTTAAGAGAGAGAAAAACAACTATTGTGATTCTAGAGTAGGTAATGGGCTTGCTAACAATCCTATGCAATCTGTAATGTAGTACTCAATAAAAAAGGTAAGATTGTTGCATGGTATGACATTTCTATTTTTTTCTCAATATGGAATGTTATATATTCTCCATGGTCAATGTACACAGGATGAAATTGTGCTTTCTTGTGTGTACAAGGATGTCTATTTTAGCATTTTTTTTTTTAATACTAGAAGAACTTACTACAACTAAATTGTCCAACAGCCCCTAGAGTTGAAAAGATGTCCATGACATAATATTCATTGCATGAAGCAGTTATCCAAAAAGTATGTTTACTATCCCAAGAAGTATATATTGTACATTTATGTTTCTATTCATAAGAATGGCTTAAAGGAAACACACCAAACTATTCCCAGTTTTACCTACCTCAGTGGAGTGGGACCCAAAACCTGCCCTGTATTTGGTCATTTTACAAATTGTATGTATTGCTTTTGTAATAAGACAAAAGATTAATATCTCTCTTTTACAATTCAAACTTACTAAGAAGTTTGAACACCTTTAAAAAGCCTCATACAGAGTTTTTAAGCATGTAAATAAAGTGCTTTTTGCTTTGCTAGTAAGTCTAAATCCTCGTATTGCCTGGAACAATTCTTCATTTTTTTTCAGTTCTCTCTTTCCAACTCCCTGAATTCTCATTCATCTTCAAACATAATGTATTTGCATGTACAAAAGTCAGACACATTGACTTTAAAATTTCTTTCAAATTTGTTTTTTGGTAGGGTCACTAGTGGCTGAACTTTAGGAGTTAAAAAAAGGAAAGAGACAATTTCCTCTACAAGTGCTCTGTGTACAGGCCGATCTGAAAATAGTAGTATTTCCCGTTTTCCTTGTCACTCTTTTTCTGAGCCAATCTTTGAGAGTTCATCTCTATTTCCATTCATAAGTTGTTAGATGTTGGTTTCCTTTTGCTCATTTTTAAACCACCTTTTGTGATTTTCAGAGCTTGTTTGAAGTGAGTGTGGTCTTTGCTCACCCAGAAACAGTGGAGGATTGCCACTTCCTGTAAGTTGCCGCATAAACAACAATGCCAATTGTATAGCATTGTTAATGCCTTCTGGTTTTCATGAAAATAGTATTGCTCCTCTTTCTAATGAGTATATCAGAACTTGTCATGCCTTAGTAGGTTTAAAATGTGCCCTCTAACGTAAGGTCTAGAGGGGGGGTGCCGCGCGCGCATGCACACACACACACACGGACTTTTTCACACACACACACACACACACACACAGACTTTTTCACACACACACACACACACACGGACTTTTTTTTCCTTCTAAGGGCCATTTGAATATTTATTTATTTATTTATTTATTTATTTATTTATTTATTTTAAATCAATCTTTATTGTTCATATTGTTACAAAGGTTCCTCATTTTTCCCCCCCTCCACCAGGTTCCCACCCCACCCTCCACCCCCTCCCCATCCCCCATTGTCCTCATCCATAGGTGCAGTTTATGTTCAGTCTCTTCCTCCCTCCCTTTCCCCGATAGTAAATCCCTTTTCAGATAGTAAATCAGTTACTTAGCATTTTCTCATATTAATAATACCTCCACATGCCCAATGATACACTTCATACAAAAGACATTTCCAAATAGGTCAATCAGCCTTATCCAGGCCCCACCCATGGCACTCACAGATCAACACCCCAGCCCTATACTAACTCAACACATCCAAATCTAAGCCTTCATCACTTGATTCAGCAGACCCTCAAGTTCCCACAAAAGTTTCCAGCCATGTCTGAGAGGCAGCCGTGGGGCAGGGGCAGGCGAGAAGCGAGCTGTTTCGGGCCTGGCTGCTCCGGGCCTGGCCTCTGTTGCTCTGGTTCGTTCCACAACCAGCTGCTCCGGGTCTGGTCACCACTGCTCCCGACCTAGTTGCTCTGGACCTGGCTGCTGCTGCTCCGGGCCTGGCCGCACCAGACCCGGCTGCTCTGGGCCTGGCCACTCCCAGCCTGGCAGCTGCTGCTCTAGGCCTGGCTACACCAGACCCGGCTGCTTCAGGCCTGGCCGCTCCCAGCCTGGCAGCCACTGCTCTGGGCCTGGCCGCTCCCAGCCTGGCAGCTCCTGCTCGGGCCTGGTCGCACCAGACCCGGCTGCTCCGGGCCTGGCCGCTGCCAGCCTGGCAGCCGCTGCTCCGGGCCTGGCTGTACCAGACCCGGCTGCTCCGGGCCTGGCCGCTCCCAGCCTGGCAGCCGCTGCTCCGGGCCTGGCCGCACCAGATCCGGCTGCTCCGGACCTGGCCGCTCCCAGCCTGGCAGCCGCTGCTCCGGGCCTGGCCGCTCCCAGCCTGGCAGCCGCTGCTCCGGGCCTGGCCGCACCAGACCCGGCTTCTCCGGGCCTGGCCGCTCCCAGCCTGGCAGCCGCTGCTCCGGGCCTGGCCACACCAGACCCGGCTGCTCTGGGCCCGGCTACCCTGGGCCCGGCCACTCCGAGTCTGGCCGCTCCCAGCCTGGATGCTCCGGGCTTGGCTACTGCTGTTCTGGACCTGGCTGCTCCCAACCCGGCTGCTCTAGGCCCGGCCACTCCGGGTCTGGGTGTTCCTGGACTGGCCTCCCTGGGCTTGGCTGCCTCCGCCTCAGGCCTGGCTGCCACTGCCCCAGGTCTGGCTGCTCCAGTGCTGGCTGTTGTTGCTCTGGTTCTGGCTGCTGCTGCTCTGGGGCCTGGCTGTTGCTGCTCCGGGCCCGGTTGCCATTGCTTTGTGCCTGGGCACTCTAGGCCTGGCCGCCGCTGTTCCAACATTCTGTCCTTTTTTTTTTTTTAAACGCATTTATGTTGCAATGTTGGCTGGTGAGTTGAGTTCTGACTTCGTCTTTGAATTTTCAAGATCTTCTTTGTATTCTTCTTTCTTAAGTAATTTTACTATCTTTTGCTCTCACTTGATTTCTTCACATTGAGAACTTTGGTTTCTTCCTCCTTGTCCTGGGAGCTCAGCAGATTGGCCTGTGGCACCGCTTTGTTCTCCGCGGGCTCCCGCGCTGCTCCAGCCTGTTGCCAGGGTCGGCGCCGCCCAGGAAGCAGCCCCTGGCCTTGGCTCCGTTGCCCGTGCTCAGAGGTCGATGGCTCAGGGGCACCCCCCTCCTGGGGGCCCCGTTGCCCGGCTCCCTGCCGGCGCCCAGCTGGCCGGTGTCCGGCAGGGGCTCCTGCTCCCTGTCGCATTCCTCCAGTCTGGAGCTTTTTTTTTTTTTTTTTTTTTTCTCCTTCTCCCTAGGGGAGTCAGGATCAGAGTCAACAGAATGTCCAATGCGCGCAGTGTGCGCGACTCTGGGGGCTCCGCTTTTTGCCACTCCCCTGGGATTCTGCCTCACAGCCCCGTCTCCCCCTGCCCGAGCCTGGGTCCCCAGGGTCTGGTCCAGGACTGGGGTTCAGAGCAGTCCGGACTGAGGCTCAGCGCCACCGGAGGCTTTGTTTCTTCACGCTAGGGTAATCCAGCATCAGAGTCAAGATTCAGTCCTCTGCGCACAATGTGCGCGCGACTCCGGGGGCCCTGCTTTTCGCTGCTCGCTTGGGATTCCGCCTCACAGCCCCGTCTCCCCCGCCGGAGCCTGGGTCCCCAGGGTCTGCTCATATCTGGGGCTCAGTGCTGCTGGTTCGGGGGTTCAGCCCAGGCTGGGGGTTTTATTTCCTTCCTGCTAGGGAACGCCAGGCAGCACCCAGCCCTCTCCTCCTCTCCGGCTGCGACCTCTCCGCGCGCGCGCACAGCATGTCTCCGTACCTTAAGCTTTTTTTCAGCTCCTCTGATTTTCCTTCTGGTTTTCTCTTTCCTTCTTGTTGTAGAATTTTCAGTCAGTCGACTACCTGTAGCTCTGGGTGATGTCCACTCTACATTTTAGTTGTATTCCATTGAAATTGTTGTGTGCTGCTGCGGTTAGGTGTCTCCCCGAGCAGCCATCTTGGATCCTCCTCCCATTTGGATATTTATAACATTATTCACAGGCCATACAAAATTATCAACTTAAAAATTAGATGGCTGTCTTTGGTGAGGTATTTAACGAACTCACCCCCAATGCCTTGGCAGGGCCAGACCAAGTGACTTAACGGGCCACAGCCTGGACATTATTTTGACTGCTCTTGATATCCTGAGTTGAATAAAATATGTTTGAATTATATTCACGGCAAAATAAACTCATTAACCTTTTATATTAACTTGAATTATACCTAGACGTGCAATATGCCCGGATTGCTTCAAGCCAGCCAAAAACAAACAGGTAAGGGTTCCTGGTTCTTACTCTTTAGTGAGTTTAGTTTGAGCTGATTATTCAAATTAGAAACAAAACAAAACAAAAAAGGTATGCAATAGGATTGTGGCAGTCTATTACTAAGAATCAGTCTTTAAATCTTTCCATTTGCTATGTTTATTTTTATTCTTTTTGGCTCTCAACACCTTCGCCTCCGGCCAGAAAGTCATAACTTCACTCATGGTTGTGTCATCATTTGGGTTGTTACCCTCTTGTTGGTTTTAGAAGCCGGGTTTCGATGAAGTTTCTGTTAACCGTTTGGGAAAATTTGAACTTATAGATTTTAATTCCCAAAATGACCTCATCTGGGAAAATCCGTGGTAAACTCAACAGCATTCCAAACTTTTGTCTAAGATCTATTTTCTAGCAATTGGTATTTTAAAAATATAATCCAAAGTGAATTATTTTATTGTACTGAATTAATAAATACTATTTCAAGCTATATGATCAAAAAGGGTATATTATTCAAATTCCCCTTTACTGTCTGATGTGAGCTAGTCTTCATGTTAATGAGTAAATTAGTTGGTATTTACTTTTAGTTTCTATTATACCAGGATAGAATGGGATGGCATGATATTGGCACTTTCATGTCCCAGTTACTTAGCTGGTTTTGTGCAGGCTCAGGCATTCCTGAATGTCTGACATCCATTTTGCTGTTCTGGTTATTAAAAAGAATGTAAGTTTATTGTCAAAAATACTCCATTTGACCTTCCTCTTGCTTTGACTACTAATTGCCAAGCCTTTTAGAACTGGTTGGTGGGATGGGAGGGGGTTGGGGGAGGTAGGAGTGGGTTGTAACATTTGCTGAATGCTCTGGGCAGAAATGACTAGAAATGCAGATCACGCCTAAAGTAGCGCTTCCCGACCTTTCTCATGTCATAGTGCTCCCAGAACATGGCCATGTTTGTTCCGCAACCTGAGGTTAACAGATGAAGTTGCTCTAAGGTGGAAGCAGTAAGCCTGGTGCTTCCCACTGTCCCAGGCCCTGCTCCTCAGCCCATCATGTTACAGAAAACTGGAGAAGAACCAAGCAATACTTAGAGAGATGGAGTTACATTTATTACTCGTAGGTCTAGAGGAAAATGTCTCTCAAATTCTGGGCCCCAACATGGAGGAACTTTCCCTATTTATATGTTTTTACCTTCTTTGTCTCTCAAATATGGGGTGTTTCCGGCCCCTTTTGCAAGTTCTTAAAGAGCCCCTGTGTGCTGGGTCCTTGAGACCTCAACCAAAGGCCTGGCCTGGTGCCAGCACTGATCATTTTGTCCCGGGAAGCTTTAATGGCCTCTCTGAAGTGGGAGTAGTCTGATTTTCCTTATTATTTAAGCAAGCAAGCAAGCAAGCAAACAAGCAAGCAAGCAAGCATTACAGAAGCCAAATAGCAGGGTTAAAATTTCAAGCAGCAGTGTTTATCTAAGATGGTGCTTCACTATGAACTGCAGGGATTGGAATCTTGGCACAATTGTAGCTCACTGCTTGGCCATATCAGTTGGGGAATTCTGTCCTAGTAACCTGTAAGCCACATTTATATTGAAGATCTAAGTTTATTTTTTGTTATCTGTGAGGAAATATACAAGTATCAGCATCAAATAATAATAAGATAGGGAATTCTTGTCAAAGCATCACAGACACCACACCATTTGGCTCATGGGTCCTGTATAGTTTTAACTGTAGTCCCTGCCATGAGGCTGGTAGTAAGTAGAGTGACCTTAAGAGATTCAGGCCTAGAATTTCCAACCTGAACAAACAGGCACTTAATTTTCAGCTCTAGCCCTGTGACACCTTGGGGTTCCCCAGAATGTGATTTAGAAAATCATGGCCTTGATGATAAACTGTTGGGATGTCTACAATCCACCCCTTTTCAGCAGTCAAGTGTCATTTCTCATAATAGACAAAATAATTGTGATTTATCATAGTAAGCCAAATATATAATAGTAATTGGTTCTAGTATGTCTACCATATGATTTGGCTTTTCTTATTTAAAAACCCCTAAGTGGGACATTTGTTGTCAATGCCCTTCTATTCAGTATTGTGGATCTGTTTTACTTTGTGGCTTCTGAGTGATGTTGAGTTGCTAGATGCCAGAGCAGGCTGGTTGGCTCTGTTCTACTCCTTAGCCTGGCAACCAACTCCTAAATTATCTACTGTAGCCTCTGCAGGGATATAGGGAAGAAGAGGTAGATGAATCGACCTAAATTCCTTTCCAGCCTGCGAGAAGGTATTCCAAGCACACTTCAGTGTCATCATTTTTGTATTTGAAGAATATGCCACGCTTTGAGGGGAATGGGACCGTGGGGCAAAGAAGACACGTTCTGCTCGGTCTGCTGGGTATTGTAGACAGACTGGACTGAGGGAGAAGGGTTGTAGGAGTGTAGTGATTGCAGAACTGACCATATGAACCCTTGTACATGTTACTTATTTTCTTCAAGCGATTGAGTATTTCTTCCTTGTAAGTATGGTTTAAAATGGTATAATTTCTCCAACCCTGTTCTGTGTTTCACCTCTGACGTTTTCTCATTTAGCTGATAAAATGCCTTTTCTTTTCATTTTACCCTATGCAGTCAGTGTTCACTAGAATGGCAGTTATGAAAGCTTTGAATAAGATAAAAGAAGAGGATTTCTGCAAGTAAGTAGAAGCATGGAAACGAGAAGGCATCATGGGACTTTGGAAGAAAGGGAATGGTAGCGAGAGTTTGGGTTATTTGTCTCTAAGACAAGACTGGAGGTGCTTCAGGGAGCAGGATTGTGCCTCAGTCATCCTTCTGTCCCCAATCCCGGGCTCGGTACCTGGCATGCAGCCGTGTTCAATGAATGTTTGTCAAATAAATTTGAATTTATAAGTCAAGTCCAACTTCTTCATCTTATAGAAAAGGATGTTGCTATTCATAGAGGGAATTGACTTGCTCATTATTTCAACCAGGTAACAGAGTCGTGAATGTAGAGCCAGGTTTCCTCATCCCCCAGTTCGAGGCCTGCATTTTGTAGTATTATCCATCTCCAGAAAAGGGAGAAAATATGCTGGAGTACAATAAGCCTTCTATTCCAATCCTCAGTGCGTTTATTTTATTTAATAAAAGGTTATAGTTTATCCTTCTAGGATATCCTTGAATAAATTTCAAACAATCAAGTTACGAGGAAGTTTTCCTATATTTCACTGACTAAAAATGAGTCTCACAATGAAAATATTTTTAAAAATATATATATATTTTATTGATTTTTTTTTTTACTGAGAGGAAGAGAGAGAGGGATAGAGAATTAGAAACATTGATGTGAGAGAAACAACCATCAGCCGCCTCCTGCACACCCCCTTCTGGGGATGTGCCCGCAACCAAGGTACATGCCCTTGACCGGAATCGAACCTGGGACCTTTCAGTCCACAGGCCAACACTCTATCCACTGAGCCAAACCGGTTTTGGCCACGATGAAAGTATTTGCATTAAGTTTTCTAAAGTAAGGACTTACTCCCGATACGCAATAGTTCTTGAGTTCCTAAGTGATTTTTTTGTGTGGAGACATCTTGGGAAATGGTGTGAAACTTTCAAGACAAGCATTTTGTGTGAAGTCCACGTCTAGTCACTGGCAGGGATACGCCAGTCCATGGCTTTGGAGGTTCCCAGGAGGCGGGCAGAGATGAAAGCCATACGCTGCCCTTCCCTGCCTGTTCTCCGGTGAAGTTTCCTGCTAAAAGGGCAGGATGGGAGCGTGATCATTCCACTTTTTCTAACTTTTTGGTCTGATTCCAAAGGTCCCAGTTGGAATGAGAAGGGGGAAAAAGTACCCTTCCCGCGGGTGTGACCAATCTCAGTGCACACCAGCTTGACCCAAATGCTTGAGGATTTTTGTAAGCCAGCAGCAGTGTTCAGAGGCAGCGAAATGGCTAAAGAATCTGGAGAGGCTTCTACTTCATGTATGCGGGTTTTTCCCCCAAATTTCAAGGTCTTTGGGATTATCACCTGGGAGCATGAGGCCTCCTGAGCACGGCCCTCCTCAGCGACCCTCTCCTGGAGGAACAGACCCGGGTGGATTCTAAACTGGAAGCCAAGGGGAGTCTGAGTCCTTGAGAGACTCCAGCCCTGTGTGTCTGGACAACGATGACTCATTGTCGTGGTTCATGATCCCGTCCCGAATATAGTAGCTATAAAATTTATTTTGTTTTGCAGGCAGTTCCCTTGTCCTCCAAACTCACCAAAGGCCGTATGCACTGTTCTTGAAATGGAATGTGCTCATGGTGCTGTCTTCGTGGCTGGTAATATTTTTATTTTTATTTTTAATTTATTTTTATTTTTTATTTTGTTCTAATATTCTGTACTGACCACATACTCCTGACCCAGCAGTGGTTTGGGGAGCAGCCACTAATTTGGCCAGTTTTATTTATTTATTTGTTTGTTTGTTTGTTTATTTATTTTATTCCTAGTTAAGCCTAAACCTAAGCCTAAGCCTAGTTAAGCCTAAGCCTAAGCCTAGTTAAGCCTAAGCCAAAGTCTAGTTAAGTAAGCCTAAGCCTAGTTAAGCCTAAGCCTAAGCCTAGTTAAGCCTAAGCCTAGGTAAGCCTAAACCTAAGCTTAAGACTAAGCCTAGTTCAGCCTAAGCATAAGCCTAGTTAAGCCTAAGACTAAGCCTAGTTAAGCCTAAGCCTAAGCCTAGTTAAGCCTAAGCCAAAGTCTAGTTAAGTAAGCCTAAGCCTAGTTAAGCCTAAGCCTAAGCCTAAGCCTAGTTAAGCCTAAGCCTAAGCCTAGGTAAGCCTAAACCTAAGCTTAAGACTAAGCCTAGTTCAGCCTAAGCATAAGCCTAGTTAAGCCTAAGACTAAGCCTAGTTAAGTCTAAGCCTAAGCCTAGTTAAGCCTAAGCCAAAGTCTAGTTAAGTAAGCCTAAGCCTAGTTAAGCCTAAGCCTAAGCCTAAGCCTAGTTAAGCCTAAACCTAAGCCTAAGCCTAGTTAAGCCTAAGCCTAAGCCTAGTTAAACCTAAGCTTAGTTAAGCCTAAGCCTAAACCTAAGCCTAAGTCTAGTTAAGCCTAAACCTAAGCCTATTTAAATTTTTTTAAATTAAATTATTATCTGTGTACATATACCATTGCCCCCCTTCCATGCACGCCCTTCCTCCCCAGAGTTTTGTGTCCATTAGTTGTACTTATGTGCATGTATACAAGTCCTTAGGTTGATATCTTATCTACTCCAGATCTCCCTCCCCTCCATGCTGTAATTTGACAGTCTGCTTATTGCTTTACTGTCTCTATATCTATCTTTTGGTTCATCAGTTTATAATGTTCTTTATTATCCTTAAATGAGTGAGGTCATGTGGTTTTTCTCTTTCATTGACTAGTTTATTTCACTCAGCATGATCTCCAATTCCATCCAGGTTGCTGCAAATGATGAGAATTTCTTCTTTTTAATGGCAGCATAATATTCCATTGTGTAGATGTACCATACTTTTTGGATCCAGTCATCTGATGATGGGCACCTAGGCTTTTTCCAAATCCTAGCTATTGTAAATTGTGCTGCTATGAACATAGGGGTGCATATATCCTTTCTGATTGGTGTTTCTAGTTTCTTGGGATATATTCCTAGGAGTGGGGTTACTAGGTCAAATAGGAGTTCCATTTTCAGTTTTTTGAGGAAACTCCACACTGTTCTCCACAGTGGTTGCACCAGTCTGCATTCCCACCAGCAGTGCAAGAGGGTTCCTTTTTCTCCGCAATCTCGCCAATACTTGTTGTTTGTTGATTTGTTGATGTTGGCCATTCTGACAGGTATGCGATAGTACTGCATTGTTGTTTTGATTTGCATCTCTCGGGTAATTAGTGACTTTGAGCATGTTTTCATGTGCCTCTTGGCTTTCCTTCTGTCTTCTTTTGAGAAGATTCTATTTAGATCCATTGCCCATTTTTTTTGGTAATATTTTTAGTCTAGAATATACTTACACTGCCAACCTGCTCTCCTTTCTGAAAAAACTCAGCTGACTCCTCCTCTCTTTCCTTCTTCTTATTACTCGATTCTGATTGGTTAACTCTTTGAGAACTAGAACTGATAGCCAGGCTTATTTTAGGTTATATAGGTATTCAATCGGGAGATTTGTTATTTAGAATGCCATGCCGGAAGGAAATGACACTTCCCAGGTCATAACAGTTTTCATCAGAGTTGGCTGAGTGGAAATATGAGTAGATGTCGAGACTCAAAACTGGTCGGAAGAAACACAGCTGTGGAGAGGATTTTTTAAAATAACGAACACAAACTTGCAAAAATAATTTTATTATCTGCAAAATGACTAAACACTTGGCTTTTGCTTGAGAAGAAGTTGTTGCATTGACTTTCCCAAGGGTAATCTAGCAGACAGTTTTTGTTTTGAAAGCTACAGCTATTTTGTAGTAATAGCTGAGACGAAATTGATATTTAGTTCTGACTATTAAGTGAAATGAGGTAATGAAAGCTCCCTTCCTTAGGGGAGCTTTATTCATAAACCAGTGAGTCATATTCTGTTAGGGTTTTTTTTTTTTAAGTATAAAAACTTCAAAATTTCCTTTGTTTGAATTCTTTGGAATATATTATCACCAATGACTATTACATTGCAAGTGTTATTAATCAGGTGTAAAAGCAATAGTTGTTTTCTGAAAAAAAAAAAAAAAAAAAAAAAAAAGATCCTTGGTGTGTTCTATAATAATACAACCTGTTTTGTCAACCAGTCAGATTAATAAATATATCGAGCATTTCTTTAGAACTCACTTAATGATTCATATTATGTTGTTAGCCATCTCTTCTATTGTTACCTTAACTATTATCACTTAATTACCTACTTGTCTATACATTGGCTCCCCAAAGTAGATTGTAAGTTAATTGAAGGCTAAACCTTGTTTTATTTATTTATTTTTGTATTATTATTACGCCTCGCCTTGTTTTATATCATAGGGTATTGGCATGCAATAAATAGTTGCTGCTTTTTTATTTTATTTTATTTTATTTTATCCTATTGTGTTAATTCCATCATCCCATCCAACCTACCTCCTATTTCTCTGGCAGGGAGATATAATAAATACTCCAGGAATCTGCCACAAACTCCTTGGATAATTGACGGAGAAAGAAAGCTGGAATCTTCAGTGGAAGAGTTAATTTCAGATCATCTTCTGACGGTATTCAAAGCAGAGAGTAAGTGTGACATTATTTACATTTTAAGTACATTGTCCTTCATGAACAGACTTCTCGGAGGCAGCAGGAAAGATTTCTGGGTTTCGTAAATCACCACCAAGTCTGGGCCTCTGGCCTAGCAGCTTCCTGTAAACAGGCACGGCCATGGCTGAGCTCCTCTGACCGGGGCTGGGTGTGGGCCAAGGTGCCAAGGATTTCTTTCCTTTTTCAAAATGACTGCCCCTTCCTGGGAAAACTCAAAACAATCAAATGACTTTAAACAAATGCACATACGCGCTGACCTTGGGACACCTCAGCTTTGACCTTGGCATACCTCACCTTTGACCTCTTTGGTGGAATCTGAGGAAATTAAAATGCAGCTTGCCCATTCAGTGCTAGACAGATGCCCGGCTTCCGTCGTAGTCACTAAAATGTCCTGGGGAAAAGTTGAAGCCCAGAGAAAACAAACCAACAGCTACCATTTCACAGAGACTTAATGGGAGTCATGTTGTGTTTTAATTCCATAGGCATCAATGGGCCCAGGTTTGTGGGATGAGTCAGATCCTGGCAGGTTTAGTTTTCTTTGTCTCGATAGGCCTGTTGGGTCAAAGGCAGCAGAAAGCCTCGTGGTTTCACCAAGGAGCAGACTAGTGGGAAGTGGCCGAGATTTCAACCATAGGAAATCATGTACGTCAGGAAAAACTGTGGGCAGTATGTCCATCACTCCTGAAGTGGGTTTCCTGAAATAATTAGGCCCCCTTTTTTGAGGGATCAACTCAACGTCCATCCTTCTCTCTGAAACACCTTAGAACAAGCTGCTTGCTGTAGGAATGGCAGGCAGTGGCTGAGATGACATATGACTGTTTCTCCTGCTCTCTGCTTGTAAAGAGAAGCACTCTGAACCCCACCCCTCTTATAATTTGTTGCCTGTTATAGAGAGCAGCCCTCTTTTTTTAAAAAATATAGATTTTATTAATTTTTTACAGAGAGGAAGGGAGAGGGCTAGAGAGTTAGAAACATCGATGAGAGAGAACATATCCATCAGCTGCCTCCTGCACACCCACTACTGGGGATGTGCCCGCAACCAAAGTACATGCCCTTGACCGGAATCGAACCTGGGACCCTTCCGCCCACAGGCCAATATAGAGCAGCCCTCTTTTGAAGGGTCTTTAAAGAATTGTTTAACTGAGTGAAGAAGAAAGTAACCTGGTAAACCAGTATTTTCCAAAATCTTAGCAGTAACGACTCTGGGTTACGCCATGAGCTTTAACCTACTGAATCTAACATTCGCACACTGGCTGTCTTATAAAACTTACCCAAGTCGTGAAGCAGTGAAGATACAGCTTTGGCACAAAAAAGTCTCTTTCAAACTTTTTGGGGGCCACCTCACCCTCTTTCTGTAAGATGCAAGAAGCTTCCAATTCTGATGCTGTGGGTCCCCAGGAAGCTCCCGCCATGACCAGGGCTGCCGGGGGGCTCTGGAGCAGTGGCGTGTGTCACCTTACCATCTTCCATGAAGGCTTTCCGTTGTCATTTTCCACTGGAAGAGGAAAATCGGTCCCCAACCTGGAAATAAGTAAAACTGTGTGCTTAACGAAGATGGCTGTGTGCTGAGGACGTTTATGGAGAGCCACTTAGGAAAAAGCGTCTTTTTGGAGGCCTCTGTGCTCATTGGCTTCTTGTCGGGATAAAACCTTGTTGTTTGAAAGGCCTGAGAGATAGCATCGCTTTTTGTAAACCCCTGCTTCTCAGATAAATTACTTGTTATTTCTGTGGTTCACCTCCGACAGCTCAGGGAAGATGGTTCTGACCATGGGGCCTCCACGTTGCACAGCTCTCTGACCATAAGCCGGTATTGCATGAAGCGGCCTAGCCACTTCCAGGAAGGTCCCTTCCCCAAAATGGGAGACACAAACTTGTTTTTCTCAGTCCCTTCAGGTCATGCACTTGCTCATTCCCTAGGTCATGAGTAATAAACTTGAAACAGTCTCCAAATCAATGTGTCTAAGAAAAACTTTCCCCTAACACATGTATGATGTCGCTCAGTGAGTAAGTGTTTGTCATGTCGGTTCCCTGCTGAAAACTGGTCGATGACTGAGCTCCAGGATAAAGTCCCAACCACTTCACTTGATATCCTCACTCCGTGGTCGGCGAACTGCGGCTTGCAAGCCACATGGGGCTCTTTGGCCCCTTGAGTGTGACCCTTCCACAAAATACCCTGGTTTGGGCGAGTCTATTTTAAAGAAGTGGCGTTCGAAGAAGTTTAAGTTTAAAAAATTTGGCTCTCAAAAGGAATTTCAGTCGTTGTACTGTTGATACTTGGCTCTGTTGGCTAATGAGTTTGCCGACCACTGACCCATCTCATGGTGTGAACACATTTGAAGAGTTTAGAATAATGCCTCTCGTGTTCATGTGGCTGTGGGGACAATGATGAAATCATTAGTCAGTTCTGTTTCTAAAAGAGTTGTCATGTGATGTTCCTCCCCCCCACTTTTTTTTTTTTTTTTTTTTTAAACCACTTCCCATTTCAGTGTTTGCAGCTTTTAGTCTGTGATGACCCATCGATCTTAAAATGAGTGCTAGTTTTGTCATGGTTCCAGCTTAGGTTTGGTTATATAATGAATTTGCTTTAGAGTCAAGTATTTCCTCCCTCCTTTCCCTTTCATAGGGTTTAATTGTCAAATATATAAATGTTTTTGTTTTGTAAGGAAAAAAAGGAAGTAGATGATAGATCTTTCGCCATAAGTTTGGCCAGGGTGGTGGTTGGGGGTGGGGGTGGTGGGGGGCGGGGAGCAGGCGGGGGGGGGGGGGGGGGGCGGCGGCGGGGGGGAGTTTCCTCCAATCCGTGCTCTGCGTTTGTCTTTCCCATGAGATGGAGGTGGGGGACGGTGGTTAAGGTCTGGCCTTGACACTGGAAACAAGTAGCTCTGCCATTTAAATTGTGACCTTGAGAAAAGTACTTAACCTTTCAGAAGCTTGGTTTTTTGTTTTGTTTTGTTTATTCTATCTCACCAGGTAGAATATTAAAATGAAATAACGTATGCACAAATTTTAGCTCAGTGCCTGGCATATAGTAAGTGCTCAATAAAAAGTGTTTATTATTATTATTATTGTAATCTTTAGGATGGAATTAGAGGTGGGATGATGACTATCCTTTGGGATTCCCCTGTAAATTATTCAAGAAAAATTGGGTTTCTACCAAAAGGGTGGGAATGGAAGTCTTAGGACTATTATTTTCTCTGATTTTTTTTTCTTCTTTATCTGCTTTCTTTAGGTTTTAATTTTTCATCCTCTGGAAGAGAAGATGTAGATGTGAGGACATTAGGAAATGGTAAGATTGCAACATATCACTTGACTGGAACTTTCAGATTATCACTATAGTTTACTGTAGTCACTTACTCAAAACCAAAGTGGGTGGAGCCCAGAGGTTCTCTCCAAGTGAGAAAGCTTTGTGGATTATGGAGCTATCTCTATAAATTATATAATTGGTAAGTTTTAACAGGAGTCATTTCTTCAGGGGCCATTTTTTATGGCATGCCTGCAGGTTACAAGGGACTTTTATGTGCATTCAGAAGGAGGTGCCTGATTTCCCCAAAAAACTTTGATTGTTAATTGTTCCACTTAATAGCATCTCAGCAGGACAAGTACAGTTTTTAAAATGCACATCTTCGTTTAAAAAGTGATTCTGCTCTTCTAGCCTTCATTTCTGGTTTTACATGGTTTCATTGCAAGAATAATGAGAGCTATTTGAGACTTATAGATCCTTCCTCTCATAGAACCACAGCTTTTCTGTTTCACGAGAGGATTAAGCGAGGACGGATTTCAGCGAGGCTTACCTGTGGCTGCATGTGACAACATGACCGTAGTGTGACCAAGTCTGTCAGTGGTCGTTTGGATTTTATTTTGTAATTCACACAGGCTTGCTCGTGGACCTCCGGGAAAGCAGTCTCTTTCACATGTTGCCCGTACTGGGGTTTAGCAGCCCCCAGAAGCCCCTTCATGCTTTTCACACAATCTCCCCTCTCCAGAGGTAGCTGAACTTTCAGTCCTCTAGGGCTCACCCTGCGTTTCACACCTCCTAACCCTCTTGCATCCGCCCTACTGTTAACTCCCTCCACGCGTTTCTGTTTCATGGCGGGGCGTGTGCTGCAGGAAGGCCCTTTGCAATCGAGCTGGTGAATCCTCACCGAGTGCGCTTCACGGCACAGGAAATGAAGGCGCTTCAGCAGGTAAACCACTTCATGACGTGGGGATCGTCCTGCTGGTGCCCCTCGGTGACTGACCTGGAACTGCTAATTGCTTTTCTTTTTCTGCTGCTACAGAAAATTAACAGCTCGTCCAACAAAATCCAAGTCCGTGACTTGCAGCTGGTCACAAGGTACGGGTAGGCTTACCGGAGATCATTTCAAAAGCATGTATCTTTTTCAGAGCATAGATCTGATAAGGGAATTATATCCAGAATATATTCAGACAAACGTTGCTTGCTTGCTTTATTTATTTATTTATTTATTTATTTATTATTTATTTATTTTAGAGAGGCAATAGGACATATGAAAGAAGGTGAAGAAGAAAAGACCAAGACCTATAGTGCCTTAATATGGACAAACAAAGCCATACGGAAGGAAGACATTGAATTTCTAAATGACATGAAGGTAGCTAAGTGCCCTGATTCTTCTTATTTTATTTTTCTACTCCCTATAAAATATTCCTTTGTCTTCTCGTTTGTTTACCAGCAAATCATAGAGCATGGGCATTGGGGACTGTGAGGCTTGGTTTCCAATTCTGGCTCTGCCACTTACTAGCTGAATGACTGGGCAATTCATGGAACCCGCCTGAGAGGCAGTCTTGCTGTGATGAAGAGCCTGTGCCTGAGGACAGATGCCTGGATCTGCATTTCTTAATTGTGTGACTTTGGACAAGTCACTTAGCCTCTTCAATTTCTCCATCTATAAAATTAGAATTAAATGAGTTTGGTCCCATAAGTCACCTAGAACAGTATCTGACACATAGAAAACACTCAGCAATGCTACTATTGTATTTGGCCTCCTGTACAAAAGAAACATAAAATACATAAAACATGTTATAAATAAATAGAACAGCGTAATGGTAGAGCACATTTTGTGTGTGCGTGTGTGTGTGCGTGTGTGCCCCATGCTAAGTTTTCCTTCACATGAGCATGCTATTATAATGGGTCTGCCAGTTCGTTTGAATATTTCTTCCCATTCGCCCCTACCTCTTCCGATAAAGATAATCTATTTTCACACACAAGAAATGAGAATAAATGGGCACAAACATGCTCATACGTAGTTATCAGGACATTATTTACATGGGCAATATTTTGTAATAATCTGATGACCTGCTAGAAGGGATTGGTTTAATCTTATGGCTTATCTGATGAGGGACTATGACTAGCCAGCTGTTAGAAATGATGTGGTAGATGAGTATTTGTTGACAAAATGGAAATGGTCCTGACAAACGGTAAGGGGAGAAAGCACACACACTCAGTGTGTGTATACATATGTATAACTATGTAGAAAACAAATCGGTAAAAGATATGTTGAGCCGAAACTGGTTTGGCTCAGTGGTAGAGCGTCGGTCTGCGGACTGAAAGGTCCCAGGTTCGATTCCGGTCAAGGGCATGTACTTTGGTTGTGGGCACATCCCCGGTAGGGGGTGTGCAAGAGGCAGCTGGTCGGTGTTTCTCTCTCATCGACGTTTCTAGCTCTCTATCTCTCTCCCTTCCACTCTGTAAAAAAAAAAAAATCAATAAAATATATTTAAAAAAGAAAAAAAGATATGTTGAGTAGGATTTATACTTATGAAAAATACAAACCCCAATAGAGAAAAAAGACAAAGGATACGAACAAGCAGCTCCAGATGGTGAAGGACCACTCAAAAAGATGTTCCCCCATAAGACCATCACTTTGCTCCTCTGAGACTCGGAGCACCTGTTGGTCAGGGCCGAGGAAAAGGCTTGAGCACACATTCAGTAGGAATGTAGAGTGTTCCAGCCTTTTTGGGAAAACCATGTGGCAGTGACTGTAAACATTAAAAATACACTGGTCTCCTACCCAGCACATCTACTCCGGGCAGTCTGTCCTGAAGAAATAAAATCCCAGCGCCTAACGATGTGAGTATCAAGGATATTCGCTCAATGTGGCAAACATTAACAATAACAAAACTGGACACAACACGAATTTCCTTTAATAAGGAGACAGTAGAACAAGTTGGAATATGATATAGCCATTTAAAAAAAAAAACCAAAATAGAAAAAAAAGATAAAGGTAGGTCTACCTCTATGACTTGCAGGAGCACCCATGGCATGATGGGAAAAAAAGTGAGGTGCAAAATATTGTTTTTAGGCTGAGTGTTTTGGTGAAAACGCACCTGCTTATAGAAGTTGATCTGTACGATCAGGGCAGACCAAACATGCCCCGTTCTCAGGTCCTGTGAGTCTGTGGTTAAGGCCTTTTGGCTTTTGGCCCTGTTATCGAGGGCCTTCGGGATGATAGTTGTAGCACAGATGGCTATCTTTAAGATTGCAGAACAAATCGTTAAGCCTCTGTTTCATGCCATGTGTACAAGTCATTCAGAATGCTGTGGGGAAAGGAAACTCATTTGAAAAATAGATTTAGAGTTGGGACGAGGTAGCTGTAGAGTTAATTCAGAAGTATTGCTGAAAGGTAATTTTTATAGGTACAGCTTAAATAGTTAAAGGGTCTGTTTTAATGATCCACAGCCCAACTGGACTGTTGGGATCAGAGACTACGTGACTTCTGATAAATTTTAAAAATATATATATTTTATTGATTTTTCACAGAGAGGAAGGGAGAGGGATAGAAAGTTAGAAACATTGATGAGAGACAAACATCCATCAGCTGCCTCCTGCACACCCCCCACTGGTGATGTGCCCGCAACCAAGGTACATGCCTTTGACTTGAATTGAACCTGGGACCCTTCAATCCACAGGCCGACACTCTATCCACTGAGCCAAACCAGCTAGGGCCTGATAATTTTTTAAGTGTTAGAGTTAAAATAGTTTTCAAGTATTCCTGTTGGTATAAAAAATATAAAAACAGAGGTATTACCCCATTCTGAGAAAAAGTCACTTCAGACTTATTACTCTTCTCTTTTTCTAAGGGCAACCTACTTCCAAGGAGGAAAAATCATTTGTGTGTGTGTGTGTGTTTCTGAACATTCAGCAGAGTGTAATGTTGGAATAGGTGATTGGTTTCCTTTTGCTGCTAAAAATAGTCAGACCAAAAATGACACATGAGTGTGTGCTGATCTGAGTGTTATTGTAGAGGTATTTCCATTGACTGCCTCATGGGTCAAAGCCCTTGGAGTGATGAAAGTTATGGAAACGGCGATGAGTATTCATTAAATAGTTGCTCATTTAAAGGTACTCTAAGGTAGAGGCCACATCGTTACAGATTCCTTAAAAGTTCTGCCTTGTCCTTCTTTTGGTCTTACTGGCCAGAGAACAAAACTGAAAACAAAATGAATTTCCTTTAATAAGGAAATGGTAGAACAAGTTGGAATATGATCGAACTACTTAAAAAAAACACACTAAAATAGAAAAAAAAGATAAAGATAGGTCTACATCTGTGACTTGCAAGAACAAATCTTATGAATGTCAGACCTTCTGAAAACAGCTTATCTTGTCAGAACAAAGTGCTATTAACATGAAAGAATTATTGAATCATCAAGCCCATGACTTAGTCACAGCGATATAAAGTATAGGAAATAGAGTTGATAATTTTGTGATAACTGTGTATGATGCCAGGTGAGTACTAGACTTACTGGGGGGACCACTTCATAAGTTATATAAATCTCTAACCACTGTGCTGTACACCTGACACTAATATAAAATTGAATGGCAACTGAAATTGAAAAAAAAAATAAAATGGGAAAAGAGCCCTCTGAGTAAGGAGGGGCCATTGACTCATTGCTCTGATAAAAGCAGTCACACAACTCAAAGTGTAGTTGTCAGAACTTGTTCTTTTCTTTCTTGGTGGAGAACTTGATGGGGGTGAGGGGGTTGGACCAGACCAAAATATTTCTTGGTATGGCTTCAGGCACTCTTATCATGTAAATTAGAAAGGAGTTGTTCCAACAAGAAATGGCAGAGGACTCAAAGTTGTTATGAATCTACATTTCTGGTTGTACCCAATACTTATTTTTAAAACTTGGAATTAGTTTGCTTTTTATAATACTAACCTCTGTTTCTTCATTTATATCTTGTGACATAAAAGGAATTCTCTAATTGTGAGGAAAACAAGCCTGTGTCCCTAAAAAAAATCTGAATTGTAAAAAGACATGCAGTATTGTTATTCTCAAGTAACTCGACTGAGCCAACAAAGAGTAAGAGGTTGTGGTTTATTGCACACTCTCACTTGTCATTATTATGTGGAAATACCAGCCTAAAATTATGATGCAACTGCTGATTTTTCAGATGTGTCCTTTCTTGTAACCAAAAAAATAACCCTGAGTAGGTGTACAGTTCTATCTAACACATGCACACTGCCTGTACACACAGGGAGGCCGAAATCCCGCCTTCAAAAACTGTCATTTCTCACCCCAGCCTGAAATCTCCACTACTAGGTTATTTTGTTGGGTTAGGGAAAAAGCAGTAAGAATATGCCTTCTAGAAAAGCTGTTTATGTAAAAGGCAGGTTCCTAATTCTATATAATAAAAGCCTTATATGTTAAGTGTCTGGTCATCTGGTTGTCCATTCAACTTATCAAAGAGTAATACCCTAATGATATGTTAAGGCCGCTCAAGCATTCACTATGACGTGCATTGACCAGCAGGGAGCAGACACTTTAACCTGTAGGTTAGCTTGCTGCTGGGATCCAGCTGATTGGGACTGAGGGAGACAGGCTGGACATGCCCTGGAGCCCTCCTGTGATTCCTCCTCTGCTGGCCAACCTCCTGTGTCCCTCCCTGGCCCTGATCGTGCACTGTGGGGGTCCCCTGGCCTGGCCTGCACCCTCCTGCAATCCAGGCTGAGGGATCACCGCCCCCCCCCCCCACACCTGAGTGCACGAATTTCACGCACTGGGCCTCTAGTGGTTAAATATTGGAGCAAGAGGGACTTTGGGGAACATTGACTTCAAAGCCTTTTCTGGTGCACTGGGGTCCAGAAAGTGAGTCAGTATGGATGAGGCTATGAGAAGTCCAACAGAGCATGGGCCTTTACCATACAGTTTATTACAGTAATAGTTAGTTTCTACCATGACGGCGATAGGTGGGTCCTCTAGAGAAAACACGTGTGGTGAGCCACAGATGACAAAGGAGGGGCTAACAGGAGCTTCTGTGGGCAGCAAAGCTGACTCCATAGCTGTGTATCACATCTTCCTCAGGACTTAAAGATCGACCAGAAGACACCGCTGCGGGTCCTGCACCGGAGGCCCCTGGCCGTACGAAGCCGCACCATTCACGCCATGGAGGCGTGCTATGTGGATGCGCATCATTTCCGCCTCCAGCTGAAGACTCAGGCGGGGACGTATCCTTTCACCTTCTGCACAGCAATGATCTAACCCCAACCCTAGTGGAAGGTTCAAAGGATCTAGGAGGGTAGGCCAAGGGTCAGGTTGGAGAAGATTTTTTGTTTTTGTTTTATCTTGTTTGAGTGTTTTTCCCCTCATTAAATTTGTATTTTTCAAAATGCCATTGTAAACCACGAGGCAGCAGCCAATTCAAAGTGCTGTAGTCTTAGCTTTAGTTTACTTTTCAAAGATGCTCCTAGTTTTTGTTTCTTGGTTTTATAGTATTTTGTGACCTAGCATGAAATGACAAAATGCCTTCTAACTGGTATAAGATTAATGATATACTTATGGATAGAAGAGGGAAAGTGGTCATTTTTAACCACCAAATAGCATTTGCACTAGAATGCTATAATTAGCCTGCCTCTCCTTCCCCACCAACCTCCTCACCTCTGTCTCCCCTGTCCTACCCTAGGAGTGACCAAAGTTTCCCCTCAAAAACAGGCACAGGTAACTTCTAAAATCTCTGAAGTTTTTACCATTTACAACAAAGGGTGGTCTATTCAGTGGGCAGATCTTTGTATTTTTGTTATTTGGAGCATATCTGCCCATTACAGATGGCATGTGGATGGGATTTCAAAGAAATTACAGTTCTTAAAAAAAAAAAATCCTTTCTACCTAATCTCAGCTTTAGTTTTGTGTGCTACCTTGTTTCCCCGAAAATAAGACAGTGTCTTATATTAATTTTTTCTTCCAAAGTTGCGCTAGGTCTTATTTTCAGGGGATGTCTTATTTTCGGGGAAACACGGTAGGGAGCAATGCAGTGGTTTTTTGAAGAAGCTAAGATCTTTTTTAATCTCATTAGATGTTTTTAGAACTAGCCATCTACATGTAACTTAAGGCATTAGCCAAGACAGACTGGCAAAGCTTTAGATACCATGTGGTTATACCCAGAAATATATGTTTTTCACAGATATTGCTCATTTGACTTACACTTCATCCCTCAGGGTATGATTATCAAGGTTATAGTAGTCCTATATAAGGAATGTTAATATAATCTTATTAATAACTAATTTTAGAATTTAATCATTGACTTCAAAATTTGAAGACCTATGAGTAAAGCACAAAGTTGTCCCATTAAAGAGAGAGAGAGAGAAAGAGAGAGAGAGAGAGAGAGAGAGAGGAGAGAGAGAGAGAATTTACTTAATCCTTTTGCTAACCATGTTGGCAAAACAGATGTCAAAATGGAACTTGTGGCAAAGAAAAAATAGCTGAGATTTTAAAAAATAGAAAAAAAAATATATATATAGCATTTATCTACAGCTGACTGTGAAAACCCATATCCAAACCTTGACACTTGGAGATGAGCTAAAGAAAAAAGAAAATGATGGCCCTTGGTAAGTTTGATGTAAATGCAAGTCGTAGGTCCTGACGTTGGCTGCTAGGCAGGTGGAACCCAGTTTGTGAAGCCTAACTTCTAAGACACACATCACAAGTCACAACTCAGAAATAATCTCTCTTGTAACATTTCTACTTTTTTAAAAAAATATATATATTTTATTGATTTTTTACAGAGAGGAAAGGAGAGAGATAGAGAGCTAGAAACGTCGATGAGAGAGAAACACCGACCAGCTGCCTCTTGCACACCTCCCACTGGGGATGTGCCCACAACCAACATACATGCCCCTGACCGGAATCGAACCTGGGACCTTTCAGTCCGCTGACCGACACTCTACCACTGAGCCAAACCGGTTTCGGCAACATTTCTACTTTTATTATTTCTCTTTCATCGATCAAATCTCACCAAACCATTAGTACTGTAAGGCTGCCCTATGTTTCTCCTTAAACAAACCCCAGCTACATTAAAGAGTTTGTACATGGAGACTTTGGGAGAACCAAGCCGAACCTGGGATCCCTGATGAATGTGACTGCAGACATTCTTGAGCTGGACGTTGAGGTAAACCATTTTATTATGGAAATGCCCATGTGCCCCTTGAATTCAAAGATATGCTTTTTTGGCATGAAGCCAAATAGTACTGCTTACCTTAAGAGGTGTTTGAAAATGATCAAAATCTTACAATAGCTTTATATTGCAGGGAGGGTCTGTCTGGGAATTTTTATGTCTTAAAAAAAACCCCACAAGATCTCATTTATGACCCTTGCAAAAATATATAGCTAACTTATTAATTGTTCTTTACATATGGCACAAGATCTAAACCCTTCAACCAAGCAAAAAATGAGGTTGTAAGTGCCTTTCATATGTCCTTTGGATTCTATAGCTCATTCCCATAGCAATTTTGTCTTTTATAGAACTTAAGGCAAACTACTGAGAAATGTATGTTCAGGACAGGGGTAGAAAATGGGTTGAACCCATGGTTATTAATAAAAGCAGTTCTATAAGGGAACCTTGTGATGCGGTCCAAATTCTCCACTCTTATAATCTGAATTGAAACAAGGTTAAATTTGTAAGTAATTAGAAAAGAGGACAGAGTGGATCTTTCAGGAAGTTATCCATCACTATTTTCCTCTTTTGAGCAGCAGTAGGTATTGAGTCAAAGGTTGTGCTCCTTGGAATACAGCCCCTTCCCACCCCCACAACAAACATTTTAGGAGATGCTAACATTTCCTACTTGGGAATTGTATCTGGTATAAAAAGTGGGTAGAATTGCCCAGTGTGGAAGCAGCTATGGCAATCAGGTGAGCCCTGGAACATTATTACCTCACCAGCAGGTCTCCTGAGTGCTTTCAGACTGGATCTCATACAGCTCAGCCAGTGACAGCATCTTCAAGGCCGCAGGGAACTCCTCAGGGAACCACCGTCATTCTGACGAAGACAACCGTCTGTTAAAGGAAATCCCAGCTGCGTTGTCTTCTTTACCTCACTTCTCAGAACAGCTTAGGAGTGTCAGAAGAGCCACAGGCCAGTGTTTCTCAGCCCTGATTGTTCAATAGAATCACCTGTAGAGTTTTTCAACCTTACAACATACCTACCCTCTCCGGCCCTCAACACACAAGATTGTGAGCAGTGATCTTTAGTTTTCAGGCTTCAGAAACTACCCGTTAACTTACATATGGGTGTTGGGCATATGGCTATATTCTCAAATAGAACCCAGTTATTTCCTTGAGATTTATAAAAGAACACACACACACACACATATGCAATAGTTATTTGGGGTTTTCTAATAGTTTCTGAACATGGTATGTGAAGTGACTCAGATTAATTTGAAAATCATTTTTTAGCAAATTAGTTCACGTTTTATAGTTTAAGTTTCAAACAACAGGTACAGTGGATTTTTTTTTTTTTTTAAAGAAACGTTCCCCAAAATGGAGCCCTCTAGGGTAGTTAGGACACTAAGTGCAATTTCGTACTTCTAAGGCCTGGAATGTGGCACAGAATAGTCTGGTACTATAATTTCAGTATGACTTGAAGCTCAAGGTTTTGTTTTAGAAGAGCCAGACCAGGGTGAGTAGAAATATGGGAACATGAAAATGACCAAAAGAGTAAAAGCAGCTGAGACTTCTCAGGGAAAATAGGTATTGCCACCTGAACTTCTTTGTTAGTTACCCATAAATAACATTAAAACATTTTCAGTGTTCTCTAGTCTATCAGTCAACAGGCACAATGAATAATCAGCTGAGTAACAGAATGCTCAATAAATTCAGCAACAGACTGCAGGCCCAAGAATCCCAGATCCCAGAGGGTTCCAAAGTGTTAAATTGCATTCATTATTTCTTTTCTTCAAATGCAGTATCTTCTGTTATAGTAAATTAGAGGCCTGGTGCACGAAATTTGTGCACTGGGTTGGGGAGGAAAGTCCCTCAGCCAGCCTGCGCCATCTCGCAGACAGACCCCCTCAGGTCTGAGACCCCTCAGGGGATGTCTGGGACCTCTTGTTCCTTACCGCCTGCCTGCTTGCTCCTTACTGCTCGGCTCACTGCTTCCTAGCAGCAGGCTCCTTACGGCATGGCTGGCTGCTCCTTAGCGCGGCCACAGAGGCAGGAGAGGCTCCCATTTGGTTGTTTGGTTGTTCTGCCTTAACAGTCACTTAGGCTTTTATTATATGGACTAGAGGCCTGGTGCACGAATTCGTGCACATTTAAAGGGAATTAATTAGAAGGTGGCTTGCAGGGCGGGACTGAGCGAAATGGGCCAGACATGCCCTGGAGCCAGCCTCCCTGGCTGGCCGCACTTGGGGTGGTGCTGGGGCTCGAAGGGCATCTGCGGAGTGAGCGGGGTCCCTCCAGCAGATGGAGTCTCTTGGCCTGGCCTGTGGGGACTGGGCCAAAACCGGCAGTCTGACATCCCCCAAGGGGTCCCAGAGTGCGAGAGGGCACTCTGCAAAGTTGTTGCTCGGCAGCTCCTGCATTGAGCATCTGCCCCCTGGTAGTTGATGCGCATTTTAGCTACCGGTCTGTCGGCTGGTTGGCCAGTCACTTAGCTTTAGATTAGAAGTCTTAACTTACACAGTGTCACCAGCAATTGCTTCCTGGAACAGGAATATGTTTTAATGTCTTGTTTTCTTCCTTTCAGTCTGTAGATGTTGACTGGCCCCCTCCTCTGGACGACTAGCTTTCAAGTTTGGAAACGAAGCAGGGTTCTCGTGGTCCGACATGGACATCCATTCCGCATATATTGTACAACGGCTGTTTACCCACCATAAGGGTGTCTTGGCAACTGTTTGGATCATGTTGATCTATTTATTTTTAAACTTGTAACATCTCAGGATCCATATACAGTATGTGTAGAATGCGTGCTATGTTGTTCTAAGGATGTCTTATGATGTTTCTTGTTCCCTCGCCAACCCCCCACAAGTCCAACTAGGAGTTATGAAACCATTCCCTATATTCATTCTCCCATTTAGAGAGGCGCACAAACAGGATACATTCTCTGATAATCTCAAGAAGCTGTAATTTGTTTCAGCAAAACTTCCCTTCACAAGAGAATCACCACTTTTAAAATCATGTTCTAAATTTTTAAAAACAATGTTGATAAGTTATGTCTATATTTATGCAGCACAGTATCTTATAATAAGATACCAAATGCAAATATGACACCATTAATATTTTCCCCAGTAAGCTTCTAGCAAGCTATTACCAATAGAAGTACTCTTGGTGTGATTTGCCACAAATGCTAATGACTTCAAATTACTCTTTTGACAATCTAAAATTGTCAATGCCTTTCCTCAAGAGGGAAAGTAAAACCTTAGGAACCGAGGTAAGAGACTTTCATAAATCTTTTAAAGAAGGAGACACAAGTGCCTTCAATAACTTCATTGCCAGGGATAAGATTTTGAAAAATTGAGATTGCCAAACAAAGGAAAGCTGTTACTATTATAGAGGGCTTCAATATATTATCTAACCTCAAACATCCTAATCAGGTAGATGGGATATTATCATCTCCATTTTATAAGTATGAAAACCAAAGATAACAGTTAAATTATTTATCTGAAATTGTTAGTTACTTCCATGTCTAAGACCAAAACTTAAGTTTCCTGGTCTATCGGCCCTTTCTAGTAAACCTATTACTGAGCACATACTGTGTGAAGGAGGCAGTTGAAGATGCCATTTTAATGCACATAACCATGAAAATTGACTTTTAGAATCTAGATGCCAACTCAAGGAGCTTACCCAAAAATAGCCCAAGTATATTTCATAGTATCTCATGATTACCATTTGCTAATAAGTTAGTCATCAGAACTATGAAGAGGCCAAAACAAACAAAACCTAGAGAAAACAGTTGAGTCATTAAGAGAAAACTTTCAGAAAGGAGTCTCTTTAAAATTTCACACACAAGTGTCATTCCCATCACCCTGACTCAACTATCTGAGCTCAGAACACATGTGACTTGGGTAGTATTGGATTACCCAGTTTCCTATTTCTCCATTCCACATAATTCACAGATACTAAGATGTATTATTTAAAACTTTAAAAAAATATATATATATTATTGAATACAGAGAGAGAGGAAGAGATAGAAACATCTTCTTCCTCCTCCCTTACTGGGGATAGAGCCTAAAACCCCAGCATATGACTTGATCAGGAATCAAACCTCGACCTGCTGGTTCATAGCTCAATGCTCACCCTCTGAGCCACACCAGCCTGACAAGATGTATTATTCACTTCAGAAATCAGGAAAATGGTTTTTCATGAAATTTCATTATGTGAATAATAGTAAATAATTTTTTCCCATTTTTTTCAATAAGCCAGAAAATGAGAAAGGGATAATAGAAATAAACTTTTGATAAAAAGGTAAGAACTTTTGTGTGAACGTTTCTCAGTTTCTGGGGAAATTTTGCTACAAAAAAGACATTTAAATAATGCCAGCCTTTTGCATGTTTTTGGCTTGTCTTTGAATTCAATGGATCTGCAAAATGGAAGAATTCAGAACCTCATTAGCTAGCATAAATTAGAAGACTTTTATTTCTTAAATTTTTGTTCCTGAGGTTATGCAAAATTTCAAGCAAAGAGTAAATTTTAGTTGTAAATACTTATTTCAAAAGTTCATATAATACATAAACTGTGCACCTATGGATGAGGACAATGGGGAGTGGGGAAAGGACAAAGGGTGGGATGGGAACCTGGTGGAGGAGAGCAATGGTGGGGGGGAAAAAAAGGAACATTTGTAATAATATGAACAATAAAAACTTATTTAAAAAATAAATAAATAAGTTCATATAATAATTATGAGATAGAGGCTAAATTAATATAGGTTTTTATGCAAAACTGAAAACATTAGGTAATGTTTTATAGTTGCACTTTTGCCTGTATAAAAATATTTTTAAATTAGTTTTGTGATCTCTTACAGCTTTGTTTAAATCTTTTAAATAACACTTAGTGAAAGGACCTTTTGTACTTCTTAGCATCTCTTTGTCCCAAATATAATCTGTGGTTTAGTTTAGGAAAAACATCAACTCTAAATACCTGGAAAAGTAAAAAATAAAGTTGGTAAAATTAAAAATTTCCTAAATAAGATTAACTACTTACATTTGTAAATTATGTGAAATAAATTTAGAAGTTAAACTTCCATTTCCAAAGAGAAAAACTCTTTACTTAAGTAGATATTTTCTTTTGGAGCTTCCTTCTTTGATTTTTACATCCATATAAAAGAATGAATTTTGAGGTAAGCTTTTCTGAGTTGATTTTTTAAAAATGGTACCTTTTTAAAAAAAATATGAAAAAATACTTTCAATTTCAAATTTACAGGAAAGTTGCAAGAAAAGTGCAAAGAAACTTTTTTCCTGAACCGTTGAGCCAGTGATGCCCTATCACCCCAAATACATTAGTGTGTAATTCCCATAAGCAAGGACATTGTTCTACTTCAGTCATCACAATATCATGATCGAAGTCAGGAATTAATCTGATGCTGCACAGTTGAGGGATCACAGTTTAGTCTCCACGAATCTGAAACAGTTCCTCTTTCCTTGACTTTCATTATTTTAACACTTTGAAGATTTCAGGCCAATTGTTCCTCAATTTGTGTTTGCCTGGTATTTCATGAATAGATTCAGGTTGTACTTTTCTAACAAGAATACCATAGAAGAGATAGGATCTTCTTGCAAAAGTGTCACACAGTTTTGGCTTGTGCTGTTAACCAGTGATTAGACTTCTTTCAGTTAATGAGGCAGTGTCTGTGAAGCTCTTCCACTCTTCTTTCCCTTTAGTAAATACTGTACAGAGTGACATCACACTTCCACTTATTATTATTAGCATTCATTGAAGATTTTCAACAGAATCCATTATTACAATGATTGTCAAATACTCATTTTCTGACTCCTGTTATATTCTTTGGTTGGCATTGGTAAGTTCTATATTAGGTAGAACTTTTCCTGTGTATTCATGGCTTCCGGTTTTATTCAATGAGTTATAATTTGTTACTGCTGTTTACTTTATTTCTAAGTACTGATTTCACCAGGGGATGCCCCACCAAGCTGAGTCCTGTTGATATGACCCTATTTTCTTGGAGAACGTTCATTATTATTATTATTATTATTATTATTATTATTATTATTTTGAATGCTGTTGCTTTAATACAAAAAAAACTTTCCAAGCTCATCTTGTATTTCACCTGCACCAGCCCTAGTGTGGGCTATTTCACTAAGAGGAACTAGTTTCTTTTAGTTGAAAATGGATTTATAAACCAAAATCCGGGCACTAGGTCTGCTCATTGCTATTGTGGCATTGGTGCTCCCAAGCCCTCGCATGGCATGCACACACTCCTGCTTACCTCTGCAATTTTTATTTATTTTTTTTACATATACTGAACACTATGAATTATACCACTATTTCCAATTCCAACCATAATTCTAGTTCTCTTTCCCTTTCCATGTTTGCCATTTCTTTCACTGAGAGTGAGGAATCTGGCTCCCATTAGCTTTAATATATTAGCTTACCAGATCAGTCCCCCTCATAGGTGGTCTCCTGGATCACTGAGACTCCCCACTAGCCCCAGATGTTCCCCTCGCGCTCTGCACACTAACCCCACACTGGGTCACCGTCTTCACCCGCCGGGGTTAATACCTACCTGTGCCTTGCTCAGAATGAGTGAACGACTTTTGTTTTCAGTTATTCAGGAAGGAAACAGGCAGGAAATCAACCAGGCAGAAAATAGAAGTCTTTTTAAAAGGCATTTTCAGTACTCTACAAAATTATCTGTCATTTCAAAGGACAGTTACATATGCAAGTATATTCTGCTGCAGCATTCCATTAAAATGCCTGCTGTTGCCGAAACCGGTTTGGCTCAGTGGATAGAATATAGACCTGCGGACTGAAGGGTCCCGGGTTTGATTCCAATCAAGGGCATGTACCTTGGTTGGGAGCACATCCCCAGTAGGGGGTGTGCAAGAGGCAGCTGATCAATGATTCTCTCTCATCGATGTTTTTAAAAAAATATATATTTTATTGAATTTTTACAGAGAGGAAGAGAGAGGGATAGAGAGTTAGAAATATCGATTAGAGAGAAGCATCGATCAACTGCCTCTTGCACACCCCCTACTGGGGATGTGCCTCAACCAAGGTACATGCCCTTGACCGGAATCGAACCCGGGACCTTTCGGTCCACAGGCCAACGTTCTATCCACTGAGCCAAACCGGTTTTGGCTCTCATTGATGTTTTTAACTCTCTATCCCTCTCTCTTCCTCTCTGTAAAAAATCAATAAAATATATTTTAAAGAATAAATAAAAATAAAATGACTACTGTTTCTAAGGAACCCAAACTAGCTTTCTCAGTAAGGAAGATGCTACAAATACAAAGAACATCTCGTTGATATTTTTAAAGTTAAATAGCAACACATTTTAATAAGGGGTTTTAGAATTTTTTTTCCATTTATTATGTTACCAAGAAAAAATTACTGTATACAAAGACATTCCAAGATAATATTCTGTACAATGAAAGACAATTTTCCAGTTTTAAAATAACTGCATGTTGATACCACGTTTAACAATTAAATAATTCAACAGTACCTGAGAACTTTTAAAAATTAGAACAGTAAAAAAATATAATGGATTCATCACAAACAAAAGCATTTCTAAGTACATTCTTTTGAAACAGAGATCTTTTCTAAAGGGTGTATATGGTCTGAACCACGCATTTAAGAAGGTTTAATGAGGGACTTAATACTTTGAAAACTTTGTTGTGTTTCCTTTCCATTTCATCTTAAAGCTACCTGCACTGTATACCGGTGACTACACTTTCAGCCAATCATCCAGTAAAATCAAGTGTGTCATCAATGAAGTATCCTGAGACTGAATTCCACAAATGGATCCCCAAATACTCCAACCTCATCTAATTCTTACTGCATATTATACCTTGCTATAATGGTTTGACTAGATGATAAAGTTTAAGAAGGAAAATAGGCAAGATGAATACTTGATACTTTTACCAACTTGCTTTTTATTGACCTGCTGATATCTCTGAAAACTCAATTTGTTGAAGCACCAACAATTTGTACTAATTATTGTTCATACAGAGGTGTTTAATGAATCTTTTTTGTAACTCCTTAAATTTTTAGAAGTCTAATAATAAACTGAAGTTGTAGAAGCAGGTGATTAAGAAGACTAGAGTATGATAAATTCCATTCCTTTTAAATAGATAATTACTAGCAGGTGGTATTTTATTTTCCTGAACCCATAGACATTTAGGATAGAAAAAAAATATTTAGAAAAAAATACTTGCCTATAAACATCCTAATTTTGCCCCTTTCTTAAACAAAACAGGGGAAAAAATCTTAAAGTGGTAACTTCATTAGCTATGATGAGACCTCTTTTTAGGAAGAAAGTCACAGAATTCCAGAACTGGAAGTCTTTAATTGACCTACCTTTGCTATACAATTGGAAATGGCCCTGGAAAGAATAAAGCCAGATGAAGGTCCTCCAGATGTGGGCAGCAGCTGACCACCGGTTTCAGGATGCCTATTATGGAAACCTAACCTAACGTGGTTTTTCTCACTCTGTCACTGGAAGGAGCATGTGGACTAGGGATTAACCAGGGACCCAGGACATATACGGATGGTTTAGCAGTATTTGATCCATACTACACACTGTACAGCGTTTCTTATGCGTTATTTTATTTAATACAACATACCTTGTGAGGGAGGTAGGCTTGGGCATTACTTGCAATTTTATATCTGAAGAAACAGGCTCACACAAGGTGTGATTTGTTAAATAACACACAGCTTTTCAGTGGCAGAGTGGAAGATTAGAACCCAAATA